CAAGGCGGTAAGCCACTTCACTCTAGCCTCTAACACAAACAAATAGAGAGTTTTGCGCGAGAGGAAAGAGAAAATACGAAAGAGACTCGGACGTGCGCGGTCTTTACGACCGTCACGTCGTCGGTCCCGACACTGGAAGCGACAACCGGCAATAAATCTCAACAATATCAACATTTTACAGCGTGCATATATACGTACCGATGCACCGTGGATAAGAATAGCATCTCTCGCGATCTTGTCGCTACAAATTATTTCCCGATCACTGAAAAAATACTAACGTTTTAATAAATATTCGTTTGAATAGCTCTGAGTAAATATCTACTAAATGTAAACATATATTTATTTAATACAAAAATCTCTACTTTGATTTAACTATATTTTTTTTTATTGAATAAATATTTATTTATCGTAAGTAAATGTTTGCTTAGTATTCAAAAAATACTATTCAAGAAATACAATATGTATTCAGATTTAGTAATTATTTTTTCAGTGTTGTGTACTAAAATACTTGTTAAACGTGAACAATATCGAAAAGACAATATCGATTGGTCCTTTTGTATATTTATTCTCGAAACGTCCTGCTTCTATTTCCAATTGTGGGCGTTCACAGCAAATATCTTCTTATCCGCCGTGCGATTAAAATACGCGGCGATATCGCGAGCGTGGCAATTGCGAGCTTCGTATACGGTGTCGCTAATAGACGGAAGTATATCGTTTTCCTGCACACGCATCTCACCACGCCATCATGCATCTGCTCATGACCATCGCTCTGAAATATCGCCGCGTATTTCCGACACGTCCTGCATACAAGATTGCCCCCAGATTGGGAAAGGGGACCGGGGTAGCAGGACTCCGATTTCGAGGCAGTTTGAAGTCGATTTCCCGTTTTTCAGAAAATTTCACGCTTCCCGCTCTAATCCGCCGAGAAGCAACGTTTCGTCATCCATTTTGTATTGTCTCATTCGCATTAATTTCTATTTCCACTGATGCAAGCCGTTAATCCTGAGCGGAAGTATACTACAATCTCTTTCTCGGAAGTTTATTTTTTTCCTCTCGCGAAATTATCTGCGAGTGTCGTAATTGTGAATGACGGAATAATTTAAGATTGGACGTCGGTATGTCAAATCGGGGAAAATCGGACGCGAATCTGCCAATGACAGAACGGGGCTCCGTTACTCGTGTAACCCCTTTTTCGCGCTAGGGATAATAATAACACGCGACACTCACGCGTGCATCATCGAGACACACTGCTATTTTACTTATCGATCAGGGGTGTAGCCGGTATCTTTGGACTAAAGAAAGAAAATATTTCTGTGTAATCATTTAATGAAATAAATATAACGTTGAAAGAAATGTTGAAGAGGGAAGAATTCCTTTACTCGGTTTTGATTTTATCGCTACGCCCCTGTTATCACAACGATATATACTGTATATATTCTATCTAGTAGTATTATATATTGCTCAGCAGCGCACTCAAGACCATCGTTATACCGTTCACTTACATTTCGCTCAAGCGCGGTGTTCTCCGTTTTTTCTTTTCCTTTTTTTTTTTCTTTTCGGCTCACTCTAACTTCCTCGCGCGCTTCTTTGGTTCTCTTCCGCCCTTCTTTCCGCCCCTCTTTCTTCGGCTTTTCTCGGGCTTCGCCACTGCTGTCTGCGTATACTATTTTCTCTTCCACACTGCATACTAATACTGTCGTTACGATACTTACTTTCCGCCGTAACCTCTTCGTGTCTCCTTATTCGTCCTTCTTCCGGTTTCCTCAAATTATTCTTAACCATCGTTCCTCCCTTCGAGACTTTTGCTCGAACTCCCCGGGGTTTGTTGCGCGTCGCATGATTTTTGAGTACGTTGACACATTAAAATGTGTGTTTATTATAAATATCGATATTTTACATTTTGGGTACTTAAAGACAAATCTACTCAGATCTTTAAAAGCGAACTAGATAGTAAATAAAACATAACAGTTGAAGAAAGTAGAGAGAAAGGTACATTACAATAATTATAAATTAAATAATTAGAGGAAAACTTCTAAGTCTCAGATAATAACAGAGTTACAAATTATATTACATTTTCAGACTGAACTTTAACATCATATAGAAATAGAAGATATCTTTTAGAAGATATGTAAGAAAATATAACTTCTAAATGTTAATTTCAATATTTATGAAAAGATCACTACTTGCTATATAATAAATTTTCTAAGTTCTTTATGCTCATAATGTCATGTTATCTTCATAGATATTAAGGCTAAAAGGTAATAAAATAAATGATTTAAATTTGACGATTGAAATAATTTATTAATCAATGTTGTCACATTCAGAACTTACGTTTGGAATTAGCTCCATGTACTAACACTTCAGTATCCAATTGATTATATATATTTAGGCAAGAAATTATACGCTTTCTCGAATAAAAATCGTGCGACGCAAGCGCGGACCTTTACAAGAAACAGAGGAAAACAGAACAAGCGGACAACAGACGTGATCGAGATGTTTCATGACACGCGTGTCACAGCATCCGCGTAGCATTTCTCAGTCAGTACGGCGCGTGTAATCGTTTTTACACACATAACACGACGCATCTTAGCGGAGCGATTTCGCGGTTCTTCGCCTTCGCGATTTCATCGTCAAGCTAAAGGTCTCGGAGGCAACACGATAATAAGACGTAAAGCGAACAGCCGCGAATCCGGCATCCGCTTTTTAGCCGAACGTATACCGTTACCATAGTTAAATCGGACACCCACTATACTCGTGTTACAAGGATATCGCTTACACATATTGTATTGTTAGTCAAGAATGAGTATACTCCTACGTGCGTCTATAGAGCTGTCCTTTAGGTAAACTTGTGTCCACACCGTAGTCAAATTCGTGGACGCTACAGGATGTCTCGAAAAACTCCTCTTATCAATCGTTTAATTATTTTAGTTACTTACTAATCATGTACTAGTTCTCAGTTTCTTGGAATCTATGATAAATTCAATCATGATGAATTTTATTTTATTTGCTTTTATTTTTAAATTGTAAATTACGATTAAATTTATTTATGAGCGCGCTGGATCGTGTGCTCCAAAAATAGTCTACGTAAAGTTTGTTATAAATAAATTTCTTTATTTTTGAATATTATATGGAAATGTAATTATTGAAATGAAAGTTTCCATTTGTTATTTAAATTTTACGAAATAGTGAAAATGTGGCTTTGTCACATTAACCAAAATACAAATTGTATTGCCGATATTGCGGTATTTCATCTGAAATTCTGCAACATTTGCGAGTTTGTGTTCGAAATTGGACGCTCTAGATTTCGCCTAATTTTCGCGAACCCCATTTTGATCAACGCGCAGTTAGACGAGAGCTTTCGGGACACCCTGTACACTTAGTTGAAAGTTTCACCACCCACCAAGTGAGGAAGCAACTCACTGCACATATTCTCTAAGCACGTAACAGAGCAACTCGCCCGATGCAGGAACGTCGAGCAAGGAAACTCTTCGCTTAACTGCAATTCGCGCTTTCGTTGCACTTTACTTTGTGCAGAGTCCGGGGGCTCTATCGAGCGGATGTTTTCCCTCTTGTGAACAATCCTTTATCCTAGCTGATGGTACTCAGGGAACGTTGCGCTTTTCGTGTCTCTTGTATCGAGAAGAAAGATTGATGTTCTATAAAAAGGAATATCTTATTCAAATTCCTTGGGAGTCAAGTCATCCCTTTTTAATTTCATATAGCAATAAGAAAATATATCCTATCTGCTTTTTCACATGCTGTGAAATAACTTTTAGTTAAATGATTCAATAGACACTGATTCTGTATATTTCTGTATAATTTTGTATTTTCTATAATTATATATAAAATTTCATGAACATCTTATAACATATAAAATCAAAATATGATTGATTCTATCCATTCTTTTAATTGCTCACATATATAATTGTCTTTTCATACAATGTTATCTGAGCTTTTAAACGAATGATTCGCCACTTGTTCACCATTGTAATCGAAGATAACAGATTCTATTAATATATCATTGACCTCCGCTCGATTGATCTCCCGTTTAGAATATGAAATTGAACGCAATCGCTTGAAATGACGAAGGAAAGGGGTACCCTTGCGAACCAACGCACGAAACCGTGAAAAATCCCGAGAATAATCGAACTTGGAAATACTTATTAAATTTTATTTAGAGATATGAAATGTTCACTTCTCATTGAGTTTTATAATACGGACGTTGTTAAGGAAATGAGATGAACACGTAGAAATTCGAAAAGATCACGAAAGGGACGCTCCTTTCCTTCGGGCGAGGGTTCTAAGCGAAGCCGCTTATCTCTCGAGAAGATTAAATTATATAGCGAAAGAGGATTGGGCAATGTACTCGCGCTTTCGTTTTCCCCTTTAGCCTATGACCGCTTGATCACATTAGACTGTTTATGTTCGCGACGAAGAGTCCCATAAGTTATGAGCTAGCTTGAAGCTGTACGTGTACTTTAACTCTTGGCGGCGGTTTTTATTCCGTAACCATCTTTACTTTAAAATAAATATATTTATTCAAGTATTTATCTTGATGGAAAAATATAAATTAAATCCTAGAAATTAACATTGCAATAGAAATTAATCAAAACAATTAAACGAAATCTAAAAAATTGTATATTAATCTAATAAAAGATTACTATAATAATGAAATTAAAAGACAAATGCAAAATTTGGAAAAAATCAATGTTCAAGTAAAATCAGGCACAAATCGAAACCTGCACCGCGAAGGGTTAAAGCTTTCTTTTTCTTATTTTACAGAAGCTTGATTATATCACGTAGAACACTTTTTGCCAATAGAGGAGTGTCGCAGACACTCTCCAAGTCGAATTTAGTTCGCGCTTTTGTAGAACGTTCGCTATGGCTTCTACTTAGAGGTAATGATCTTTCTCGCGTGGTTGCCCTTTCCCCTTCGTATCTTCACGAGCGAGAATCGTCTTATCGCCAACTAATGTTACATTCCTGTAAAAAAAAAACAGAACAGTTGGACCGAATTGAGGAGGGCATGGACCAGATTAACGCCGACATGAGAGAGGCCGAGAAGAATCTCACTGGAATGGAAAAGTGCTGCGGCCTTTGCGTTCTTCCCTGTAACAAGTACGACACAACTATTATAGCGTATCTCATCTCTTTCTTATTTTTGCGCTATTTCTTCCTTAAAACGAATCGCCAAAGATTCTCTACATATTTTACCGTCTCTCAAGTCTACTATCAATAAGCTGCATGATTAGACTTTAGAAGACTAGTTAAATAATTGAAGACATGTGTGTGCGTTGACTAATTAAGAAATATCAAGAAATTACTTAAATTTAATTTATATTGAAAACTTATACTAGGTGGACCGTATAAAACTTATATTAGCACTGAATTTTCACGAAGATTCTAAATGAAATGGATATATTGAAAACAGAGCTATTTAATAACCAATTGTCTATCTGCAGCAATTTAGAGACAATTTAAAGTTTTAAAGTACAAATTGTAGAGTAGCGGAAATCTACAAAATTAGTGTAATTAATTGAACGGCACTTCTCAAGACTTTCAAATCGATGTTTGCTGTTGTCTACTGAATGTTAGTCTTTCCTTCTTCTGAGACCGACTAAATCGCGTCGCTCGCGCGACAATTTTGCGCGTACAGAGGTGCCAGCTTCAAGGAAGACGAGGGTACGTGGAAGGGCAACGACGACGGTAAAGTTGTGAACAACCAGCCGCAACGGGTGATGGACGACCGCAACGGTATTGGACCGCAGAGCGGCTACATCGCCAAGATCACGAACGACGCGCGCGAGACAGAGATGGAGGAGAACATGGGCCAGGTAAACACGATGATTGGCAACCTGAGGAACATGGCGATCGACATGGGCAGCGAGCTCGAGAATCAGAATCGGCAGATCGACAGGATCAACCGCAAGGTGAGTTGGAAGGGGGTAATAGCGAGTGAATGCGCAGCACCGGCGTCCAAACGCTGCACCGCAGTCGTCGCGAGACTTGGCATGGCTCTAAAAAAAAACCACTCGGACGGCAATCCGCGTTCGTCTTACTCGTCGACATACATATTGCGAGCAATGATCGAGAAAACGGGGCATCTCGGAAAAACCTTGGACTTGGAACAAGAATAGAGCGTTTAAAGCTTGGAGTTTCTACGTTTGTCTATATTGCATCCTTGTTCTAAATCCTGACACGGAAAGAATGGTTTTGTTGAAGTATCTAAAAATTTAACTGAATATATAAACGTGAAAATAATTTTGGACAAAGTTAAATTATAGAAGACGCTCAAACTGCTAGAATGTTGAAACCTTTCACAGCATCATGTTTGAATTTTCTACACAATTATTTTGATAAGATCTACAAAATTATTTTTAGACCTCTATCTAACTTTTTAGATACTTTAGCAAAATTATTTTCGTGTAATTAATAAAGATAAACAGATTGTTTCATATCAAAGATTCTTGAAAGATTTGCAGTGAAGGCTGAAAAATGGACGATGGATTTTCTTGATTAGCTAAGCTATTGTCGTTTGATACAGAAGACTTAACGTGTCTCTTTAATTCACGAACCAATTTCATTTTTAGATTAATGATGTACTCTTCATTTAAGACGCTTTATATCACCAAGGTTGTAGGGCTATCATTAAGATTGTAGGTTGGTAAACTTAAAGTATCAAGTGATAGCCTTCGAGACGTAATCCAGTATGTCGATGAGATTACTGAAGTCCAATGCACACTGCGAATAATGTTATCAGTGAACACTAATCGAATTATTTCGAAAAATTTTGATTAAAGTAAATTTGGATGAAAAAAATTCAAAATCCAAAGGTTTTAAAAATAAATTAAAAAATTTGAAAACTCTAGCACTTAGAAATCATGAATTTTATTAGTCAAAAAGTATATATCCTAAATTTTCAATTGCCAATTAATCTCTCTATTTAAATCTTGAAATTAAACTTCTAAATTCTTCAAATCTGTTAATTTAAGATTCGACTATTAATTAAATTGAATTGTTAGTTAAATCGTGAATGTTGAATTTTTTGTAGAAAAACATTAATTCACAATTTAATATTTAATTTGGAATTATCTAAATTAGTAATGTGTGTTTATAATGAGCGTGTACAAATTATAATTTAATTGGATGCAATTAATGCCACGATCTAAAAGATGATCGATGCAACTTCACTATTTGCGCGTGTGTATTAGACTACTGTAAAATGAGCTGACACGTGTCTCGATATAGGTATGCGCGAATTTATATGTCACAATGCACATGCTCAGAGCGATGCACATCACGTTCGTCGTCGCTTTCGCTTTCTTGTGTGTCTTTTCTTCCTTCCTTCCTTCCTTCATTCTGTTCTGTCTATTTTTACATGTCACATGTTCCCAATCCGGGCAGGTGTCCCGACGACGTCCGTCGTCGCTTTTTGCATCTTTTCCTCTAAAGACAAGGATGTTTAAAAAGCAACGTAATATGCACTATGTCTAAAAGTCTTCCGATTTTGCTCAACGCAATTTTCGATAACGTAATTTTAATCTTAAGCAATTTACATGTAAATATCTTAAATATATATATAAGTAACGAATAATAAATGTAAAAGAAAACGCAAATTCGAAAACTAGATATGTTCTTTAAATACGTAGGAATCTAATTATACTTAATCCTGTATACTAACAAGAATTTTCACTCTTTTATTAGTAATACGAATTTTCGAAAAACAGCAAATTTTTTATTGTTCCGGATCATATAAAAATCTGAAAAATTTCTGATGTGCTTGTCAAAATTTTAATAACGAGCTTTTATCATTATAGAAGTTGGATTGTATTTTATTTATAATTTCTTACAGATATATATTTATCTATTAAAATTTAAATTTAAATATCGATAGTATCTTTAAAGATTCCGGTATATAGGCTAATAATATCGAGTTTTGTGTAGAAAACACACAGAGATCAAATTACGAAGTTATAAATATTCCTAACTAGCGAGTCCAAGGTAACCATCTCTATTCTTTTGGATTAAAATTCCAACGTGATCGAAATTGCGATTTGTAAAAAGGCTATTTTAAGATGGATTCTAGAGTTCCGTGAAATTTCAATAAATTCGAGATCGCATGCTCACGCACGTGTATCGCACGATATTAGTCGCCACGATTCCCGCCCCCCACGTCTTAAATATCGCGCCCTTATTCCACGGCTCCTCGCTGAAATTCTCCGGGCATTCTCCCAACTCGTCGATCATCCCTTCAGCACAGCCTGCCTTCGATGTTCTTGTAGGTACGTAATTACTGCACCATCCACGCTTCAGATTTATCTATCCTTCTCTTTTTATTCTTTCTCTTTCTATCTCTTTTTCATAAAAATCTTTACCGTGGGACTATGGTATTTTTCATGAATTTTCAACACGTTATAAAATAAAAAATATCACTAGCAAATAAAAATAAAAGGTTTTTTATTTTCTGAGATTTTTAATTTAACTCGAAGATAGATAAGAGAAAAAGATTTTATTTTATAATATTTTATCTATCTAAAAATATATTGACGCGATTGAATCTCTCTGTAATCTCTCTGTTTAATTAGACATTATTCAAATTAAAATAATATTTATATTATAAAATATTTACATTAGAAAATGAACGAGTTTATGGAAATAAATAAACAAAATATAGCAATTTATATTAACTTATCGTTCTAATGGTTTGACAATTTTTTAAGTATTCTTTTTTCTTAAATAAGAATAGTTGAGAACTTGTAACCAGTTATGTCTAATTTTTTTTATCATAATCCTCTTTAGTAGATCCTAGACAAAAGGAGACAAAATTATCTGACCATAAAAAGATCCTCGAACGAACAATACGTATTCATAACTTACGGTGACTATATTTCAATAATTATCTGTCATTACTTACTGTAACGCTCTGCTATTGAATTTGCGATCGATCTTGTCATAGGACTCATATTTTCCGCATATGATATCTTGCAACGTTTAACATTAACCCGAATTAAACACGCTATCAATAATCGATATTCGGATATATCAACATTTTCCCTTCAACCTTCGGTATTTATTCAGACTAAATTTATCATCGAGCTATTTCTTTCTTCTGCTTATTCCTTTTTCTCCTTATTAACATTTCTATGCTATCTTTTCGTTCTTTCAATTCTGAGATTAACTTTTTTCTTTCCGTTAACATAAATTCTTTCTTCAACAATACATTATCGACAACAAATATTGATCGTTTGAGGATCTTTGACCCTTTAAAGGCCATACATGTTATAATATCAATGTAATTCCGAAAATTTATTAATTTTCCATCCTTTGCCACGTAATTCACATAATTCATGTTAATTTCGAAAACTCGTCCGCGCGCGCGAAGAGGGATATGGTCTTTAACGGGATATCATAGCGGTGTACAATCTCGAACAGTCGGTAATTAAGATTTGTAGATGCGAGTCGGACGGAAAATAAGCGAGAGTATTCATAATCCAATAGAGTATTAACTTTTCACGATCGCCACCGGAATCCAATTGATTCCTTTTAAATATAACGTCACACAACCTGTATGCGATATATGTAACATTAGTTATCGAGCGTATCGCTATACAGTGACCAGCTGACGATTTTTCGCGAGCGCGGCATAGCTTGTTACAATTTAATCGAGCGGTGTAGAAACGGTATCGAGGGGGTTGTGCAAAACCGCAAGACTCTTGAACAGACGCGACGAGAGATTGTACTCCACTTTCCGGTGAACTTAAGCCGCACAACCATCACACGCCCGCATCACACACACCTCTGTGACCGAAACCCGAACTGATAATCCGCAGGGCGAGTCGAATGAAACGAGGATAGCCGTGGCGAACCAACGTGCGCACGCCCTGCTCAAGTAAAATGCGTCTTCTCTCTGTCTCCACGTGTCCGCCTCCTCCGAGCCCCAAGTTGCATATCACCGAGACGTCGTCTCGAGCAAAAAAAAAAAAAAAAGAAAAGAAATGGAGATTATACTCGTGTACTTATGGGTATTATACATGTAGAGAGGCCTGACACACACGATCTCGGGGCTGGGATTATTCGGGCGTGAGTGAAGCCGTAATCACATCAATTGCCGCGATTGTAGTAATGGCGTATATTATAGTTTATTTACTGATTCCTCTTAGGGTTGAAAAATAAGAAACAACCTCTAAAAAATTCCCGCACGAGATTCCACAATTCAATTCAAAAGTATATTCGAATTGGATTGCGACTGTGATTGACGATCGCTTTTCCACCAATCAGAGCAGAGCAGTCACCGATCGTTTTGCTCTGATTGATTGAAAAGCAATTGCCAATGACAGTTGCAATTCAAACGGCAATCGGTAGCGTAATTACGGCTTTAAGCGGTAGATGTTAAGTGCTAAATTACAAAATCCACGCGCTTAAGTATCAGTTACCGGATTAGTTCCGTGTTGATTTATCGAATAGGTTAACGCATAGTGACATTGTATACGCGCACGAATATTAAGCGATTGCGGGAATTATATATACCTATATATCACGTCTGAATAGAATACTTAATTTATTGGAGTGGTCGGGGACGCGGTAACGTTGCAATTGGACCACGATACTATCGGATTAATCGAATACTCCCAGCTCCGCGAGCGAATCTCCCGTCTGTCCACCGTTCTCCCTTTGCTGTTTTCTCGTCGTCGCCCGGGCACCAATAACCCGATCCGCTAGTAACCTGTGCAACAACGGAAAACTACCACCACCAAATAACTATATCACTTCTACTACTTCTATCACCACTACCAAGCTTTCCGATATATACGACGATATACAAGTGAACAGCCGCTCGATAGCCGTGGTACACGAAAGAGCTTCTTGATGCTTCTGGATAAAAATGGCCGATCTGATATTTGCACAGCCGTATCGCGCGAGGAGTATAATCTTGCCGATATTCTGGGAGCTCGTAAGCTCGCGAAAAATCTTTGTCTTTCACGAATTAAGAGCGACGAGTGTCTCGGTTTCGTTTTGTGAGAGAAAAATCGATTCCAGATATATATTGGAAATATTTGTTCTATGTAAATGTTACTTAAGCTGTCTCAAATGCGTCACGCTAAAGTGACGCTAATTAATGGATCTGGAATCGTGAGAAGGGAATTTGTGTTTCTTTAATAATTGCTGATTAATAATGCATTTGTCACAATTGAAGAGCTTTCGTAAAAGTGGAGACAACGAATTCTAAAATTAAAGTGATGAGAAACTAACCGGATCTCAATTTTAGTTTCTTATTAGTATAAAAAAGTACGGAACTCTTTTTCATTTCTATAAGGAACCGTGGAGCTATGAAAAATGCTACTGGAACTGTCATTATTTTTTCTAATATTAATGTAACATCCTGTTAGTAATTGCTCGTTAATTGATTAATATCAAATATTCATAAATTTCATTTTTAGAAATAATTCTGGACGACTCGTAAATTATGTGTGGCTAAAAATTTTATTTCGGTCAACAGAAGCGTGGCGTACCGCGGCTACCGCGAGTGGTAAAAGCATCGCACTGGGATGTGTCATCGCTCCCTGTACACACGTTGTTACAAGGCCCATCACACGTACTGTCACTCTCGTTGTGATTGCGTCACGAACGGACGTCGCCGTTGACGACGGCGACGGAATGCCACTCGTTGATCCCTTTGAACTCCGTGTCGGAACCGCACCGTTCTCGACCGCTTTCGCTCCAATGCTCCTCGGGGTCGATCAGGTTAACACGCTTGACACGTGGCGGAAGAACAGCATGCGAATTTCATCTTTCCCGCTGGTTCGCGTGGATTTCGCCGATATGTCAGGGTCGTATCGACCACTAACTGTGCACGATGTACACAGGGACCTGAGAAACGAGCTTCGGGATTCTTAGAGAATGTTCTGCGCAGCTTTTGACACAACTCTCCCGTAGAGATTCTATAAACCGAGTTTGATCACAAACGATTTTGTCAAAATTTTTATTTGTACTAAAAATAGTCCACTCGTATCTTTGTTAAAGTTTCTATTTTTAACATATCAAGTGTTAATTTAACGCAATGTTATTTGTTTGTTTTATGTTAAATTGACATTCAACATTTCTTAGATTAGTGTCAGAATAACAATTTATGATTGAACAAATAACATAAAAATAATACACTTTGAAATGTAAATTCCATGATAAGTAAATAAATTAAGATTCAATTTAACATGTTATGAATGTTAATGTTATAAAAAAAGTATGCTTCCACAGTTTGCTTACAAATTGTGTCAGTATTTTTATATTAATTTATTTACATAGTATTACCTTTTACCACATTCATGTCGTGTTAAATTAACGTAATTTGAGTGGACCGTTTGGGACATGTGAAGCGTGTTAAATTTAAAGCAAATTTTCCAACTGTAGCTTCCACGTACATATACTATCTCACTTTAATTTATGCTATCTCATTTTATAATCTTAATTAAAGTTAAAGTGTAATAGGGTAAATTAGAGTGAAATAGTCTGTGCAGAGAAAGAGAGAAAGACATACCTTTCTCTCTCGTAAAATTTTGATAAGATCTCGTGGTCAGACTCTGTTATAAGGTCTCTAGCTTTGGGTATATTCAAATTCCCACCCGAGAGCTCCCCAAGTATCATATTGTCTTTGTTTAACATTCATGTGAACAACGAGGATACCTGTGTAACATTCGAGTGAAAATTTGAACACATTATATAACCTTATCCGAAATCGCACGCGAATCAAGAAAGAGATTTCACCGTCGCCAAATTTATTGTTTATTTAACGTGAAATAAAAAATAAACCTTACTATAACGATTATCCGACGATATCTACGAAGACTTTTGTTGGAAAAATAGAAAAATGCCAAGTAAATTTATAAATTAGAATTTGTGACCAAAATGGAACGATCTATTCTTGGCGAACGCGTCTTGCTGTCGCAGCGAAACCAACACCGCGTCGCGTCAGTGGCGCGGAACGAGAATCGATTTATTACAGCGAAACAATCCGCGGATTCAGCGAAACAGTTTCCGAATGAGATTTCTTCTTCATCAAGCTTTTTCATTTGTTTACGGTCATTGTATATAACATTGACGAAATCCTCTGCGACAGCACAAAAACATGTCGCGGTAAATTGACGTTCCCGCGATCGATACTCGTTTCCTCCTACGCTACGAAAACGCGTTACGAGCGAAATTTTCCAAGAATCTTTTAAGCAGCCCTTAGACAATTAATATTATTGCCTAATAATATTATGCAATACTATTGGTTAACTATATTGAACTTTTAGACTGTTTTTTGAGTTGTTCGAAATATTATATTAATAATATCATACAAGAGAATTGTATAATAAAGTGATACTCTTACAAATGCTTGGATCATTTGTAAGATCAAGTAAATTGTAGCCAATATTGTCTAAGGACCGTTTTATCTTCTGTGGCCACTACACGTAAAAAAAATTTTATTCGTAACCGTAAGCACATCGACCAATCATAATCAAAAGTACAGTTTTACGTTTTAGAATACGCGATTATTGGTCGGTAGACTGAGAAAAAAAAATTACTAAATTTAAATAATATTTCTTTGAATAGTACTAAGTAAACATTTATTTACAGTAAAAATAAATATTTATTCAATAAATAATAATAGTTAAATCAAATTAATGCTTTTGTATCAAATTAATAATACATGTTTACATTTAATAAAATATTTAGTTAGAAATATTCAAACAAACATTTATTAAAATTTAGTTTTTTTTCAGTATATGCTTACAATCTTACGACCAAAACTTTTTTACGTGTGATGATCGTAAGGCCTCAGGAGGAAAAATCACGTTCCGCAGTGTTGAGAAACTCCGAGCGGTTCCGATCCCCGGAAGCCTCGATCCGCACCGTCGGTCCTCGACGTCCACAGCTCGCGCATACGACATTGCGTTCTTGTTTTTTCTTGTTCTTTGACACGCAGGGCGAATCGAACGAGACGAGGATACAGGTGGCCAACGAGCGAGCCCATCAGCTACTCAAGTAAGCGGCCGCACTCTCTGTCGACCATCCGCACCCCGTCGGCCGCCCACGAGCGTCACTACCATCACCCTCCACCACCACCACCACCACCAACAACAACAACACAACAGCGACAACATCAACACCAACAACAGTCAGTACAGTTACACTCGACAAGTCCACTCGATCGTTTTCTCGCGATTTATTTGTTAGAACGTTGTTTCTTTATTGTTCACGTTTACCGATACCTTTCGAGTTTGGTATCGTCGGAAACATGATATAATATACTTAATGAAAATACTTAACCCTAAACTTGACTGAATGGATTTCGTAAAGTTGTTAAAATTTTGTAATATTCTTTTTCGTTCGAAGTAAAGGACCGTATGAATCGCATCGTCATAAGCGTTTAAGAATTATTACGAAGATACGTAAAGAAGATTTGCGACCTCCTCTGATGTGGTCTTTCGAACATTTAGCGCAGTTTCTCTTCTAAAATATCATAGATATTAAATTAATAGCACGCCCCGCGAACGATGCGGCCGATGAAATTGACGAGAAAGAAAACTAAACACTGTCGTACTGGTGAGTATCTGCTGCATTTCTTTCGAATAACGTACTCTTGGATTTTCACTTCTTTATAGCTTTTGCAAGTTTAGGGTTAATATACGCCGAAACAGATTCACACATCACAGATTCGGAGATTGAGTTTGATTTTCGGCTTGACTTAAAGCGTGTAAGTGTGATTCCTGATTTAGCGTCGAAGACGTCCGATTTAATTTACGTCGAACTTCAATTTCGTTAGTCCCCGTTCTGCAACCGTAAATTAGATTTAATCTCCGAGACGGGCTTTTTGTCTTTACAATGGCAATCCGCCGACGAAGAGCTTCGATGATTCGAGGTGTCGGTGCCGCTAATCGGTCATCGAAGCTGGATTAAAAACCGATCTCTCTATCTTAAGATTGTCGGAGCAATCTCATACCGAATCACAACGAAGAAACCGATGGAATTTCTGTCTAGCGTGGCAAAAGCGTCGAATTTGTCGCGTAGTTTTAAAACGGAGCTGAAATCCAATCTCCGGTTCAGAAACGAAACAGCTTCGTTCTCTTTGCCGGCAGAGTTAGCGCGTTGAACGATATTGGAATTTAAATAACAAATAATAATATATATGTATATTATATATTACCTCTCGTTAGTCATACACATTACACGACACAAACCGGGAAGATTAACTGCACGAAAAGATGCAGCGATTAATTGAATTCTCTCGGTTGAATTGACTCTAGAGAGTCGGTATTGGAAACGCAAGAAACAAACGGAGAAAAAAAAAAGAGGAAGAAACATGATTATAGTACAAAAATTATTACACTTACCTTCCGTTAGGAAAAAGATTTCGAATACAATTTATTTATTTGTCTTATCATATATTACCGCTCTCCGCGATTATAACTTGCGCTTGAGGATCACACTCGAACGTGTCAGCGATACTGTCTACAAGCGGAAGAAGCAACACACTAATCTCCCTCTCCCTCGAATCTCCCCCGAAACGTAGGGGGTGGACCTCGCTGTTTCCCCCCCCTTGATCGACAAATGCGCGATTCTCGAGGTCGGGCTATCGAATAGCTTTAGCGAGGGTTTCGCAAATTTCGCCGGATGTTCGCGTGTGAAAGATACGCGGAGAGGTCGCGACGACACTTGGAGGAGGAAGGGAGTGGAATCGCGAGCGTGTGAAGGACGAGGGAGCAGAACGAGGTGGAAAGAAGAGGAAGGACAGGTGGAAGAAGAGGACTCACATAGCGAGATTACCGAAGCAACGAAGAGAACGCGTTCAGCCATATGATTATTAGGAGTCAGCTGAAGCTGTGTAGATAGAGCGAGGTCTTCTTTCGTCGTTTAAAAATAAAATAAAAAAAAACTCGACTCGCACTCGACAACGTAGAACATAGGTGTTACTTCCCCTTGCCCCCCCCCCCCCCCCCCCCCCCCCAAATCGCGCCGAGATCACAGTAAGGTTTAACTCCAAAGAAAGATTGTACATTACTGTATTTACACGAGGGCGACGTACCCACCTTGTTAAATTGTACGATGAGGAGTCGGTAGGGAAACATGACGCGGCTCGAGAATCGATATCCGTCGGTGATTCTGGGACGACCACCGTGATCCTGGGACGAATCTTCGTGAGCCTTATTAAAACAGCGAGATATCGAGAGAAGTCCTTGCGTAGTGAATTTCTTAGACAATTTTTAAAGGATATACAGCAAAGATCGTAATACTTATCAACAATTTTATAGTCCAACAATTTTAGTCTACCAATTCGCCACAAATTGCGAGATCCGAAGATTATCGAAGTCCTTGCACCTATTGCGACCTCTTGTTCTTTCTAGCGCGTTGCACTTTTCGAAATGTCGAGGGAACTGATCGATTTACAGTTCGAGGTAGAATGATAATTAATGATAATTAGCGTTCTGGTGACACCTATGGTTTCCGAATTGCGGAAGAAAGGGCACTTATGGGTAAAACAACCAACGGGTGTCGGTCTCGAGCGGCGCGGTCAGTAATGACCGAGCACAAATAACTGCATAGCCTTTTCGATTTCGCTTGTTCTTTGCTTTCTCTCGAAGAGGGAAATAAAACGCCCTTCGGACGCTTCGCCGGACGAACGTGTTACAAGAGGAGTGAAAGGATTTGTACGAATTTTGAGAATGAGAGAGAGATATGAAGAACGAAAAGTAAAAGTGCGTGTGAGAGTGAGAGAGAGAGAGAGAGAGAGAGAGAGAGAGAGAGAGAGAGAGAGAGAGAGAGTGTGGGGAGAGAGAGAGATTGTGCGACGCGAGATCATTAGGCCTATAGTGATCACTTAGGTTGAGAGAGATTTTAAATAATTATAAATAGATGTGGGTGTATGATGTATGTACACTCCCGTCTCTATAGCATTGTTCTTTAACGATGGATCCCTTGACCAGTCTCGAGACAACTCTTTTCGACGAAGATGTTCGATCGAGTCACCGATAACTTTCGAAAGACGTACGATATTGACAGTTGGAAAGTTGCCGATGAAGTTTCTTGATACACTCATCGAGGAGAAAACCGATAATGAAAAACTCTAGATCGGTCGGAGAATCCAACGTTAAAAATCAAGAGTGCCAGAAGCAGGACGGTTGATGTACATACGTCATTTATTTGCATATATAAATATATATATAAATATACATATATTTATGCATATGTATACATAGCCATGTAGGGAGCAAACGCGGTGAGCCCTTTCTTAAATAGCTGCAGATAGAAGAGAGTCGAGAGTTGCGAGAGAAGACTACTTGAAATGAGCGAGCGAGAGAGAGAGAGAGAGAGAGCGGAGAGTATCTTTATTACATATTATACATATTATTATATATATAAATAAATGAGTAAAAAATAGATATAAATATACGTATAAATATTATAAATATAATACGGGATCGGGCAATATTGTACTTGTTAAATTTCATCGTTACTGTTTATCACCGCCTATTGCGAGATTACGTACTTATTTTACGAATATTATCCTTCTCATCCCCCTACCCCTTTATCCCGACGATTAAGTCATATCGAGTTTGCAGGTCTATATATGTGATACATTTTAAACACCTACTCACACAAACGTACACATAAATAATGTATAGATACAGGCAATTAGGTAGATAGATCAGTAAGGATACGACGATTAAAGAAAAAAAAAAAAAAAACTAACGGAGTGAGGATGAGGTAAAGAAGTAAGAGTGCGTATGTGCGTTGCGAGAGTGAGTGAGAGAACGAGAGCGAAAGAGACATCTTACGCGAACGAGAGACTAACGAGAATAACGACGTGAGAGATGAAGAGCGCGTGAGGAACGGAGGAAATCCGGAATTTAAGATAAAAATCATGCTCTTTGTAAATGCGCAGAGTGTCCTGGAGCTGTCGAACGTGCTTGCCTCGGTATTGATCAGAATGGAGGAACGAAAACGCGTTTACTCTCAATAGTCTTACGTTTGAAGCAATTTTTAACATTTAAAATTATTTTATTTCAATGGCAATTTCTCTCGATGAATTTCGTCTCAAAGATAAGATGAAAAAACTTGTTTTGCACCAGAATTAGTCCTAGAGATTTAATAGTATTTAAAAAAATATTAGTATTCAATTATTTTGGATCAAGTTCATGTCAAGATCGAGTCTTAAATAACTCGTCGATAGACTAGTCGTTTTTGCTTCAGAATATCCAAGATATTCGTTCGCTTCGAGACACGTCAGGTAAAAATTCACGAGTCAATAATAACGCTGATTATCTGAAATTAGAACGAGACCTTCAGCCGGGGAGACAATCGACAGATCCGGAGGCACTTCGTATACCAACACGGAAACAATTTCCATATCTCCTAAGCGACAATTACGTACCTTGACATAGCTATTCGCATCGACAGTTAATGTTAAAGGAGATCGAAAGAGCTCCAAAGGAACTGCCGGCAATGTGATATGCTCAATAATGCGACTAGAGGCGTAAAACTTTTGGGAATCGATGCTGTGGCACGAGATCGAATCCAACTTTTACATCCGATCGGCGCCAGAATCTGCACAATTCAATTAGTAATACTTTTGTATTAATTAAACAATTATATTTTTATTTCTCTCAGTCATTGAGAATCGGCGAGACTTTGAAATTCACACATGAATCTGAAAAAAAGAGAAAAATTCGTAGCACTTTCTCCTCTTCGATCTTTGATCTTGCAGACTTCACGAAACGATAATAGATCCGGAGTAGTGATTGATTTTTTGCAATCGAGCCGTCGGGACTCGTTCCATCGATTGATTCCCGCTTCGGAAACGTGCGTGAAGGTGTGAACCACCTTCTCGTGTACTTATAGCGAAATACGAGTGCGAGAGACAAATGTATGTATGTACTTGGGACCACCGTGCAGACGTGCAAGGTGTCATGGAGGGCTATCTTCGAGGCATTCGTGTAATCCATATATACAGTAGAATGACGACGAATGTAAGACTGGCGAGGACGAGAATGAGGATCGCGGCGCATGGAAAATGCATTTGTAAATTGTAAAGTTATTGATGTAAGCAGGGAAAAAAACGGGACACGAGACCAGCTTCTCTCTTTTTAAAACCGATTATAATGTCGCTAGATGTTATTTACGATACCGTCGTATTAAAAAAAGGAAAAAAAAGAAGTTTTACTCCTCGGCAGTATCATTATAACAAATGCCTGTGTATTTTACTTCTTAGTAAATAATAAACCATTTAAGTATTGTACGTCGTTCCGATTCCATCACTCAATCTCCCGCGGGATTCATATCGTTTTATCTAAACCAAAAGAATGAGAAAAGATTTATCAACGATCTAATAGATAATTCTAAGAACTTCGGAATTCAATCACGTTATCAAAGATAAAACAGAATTTTACAGCGTAACAAGTCGTCTTTTGATAAGGATCCGCTTTCCTGTAACGATCTTATTAAACTTGAGTCTATGTGGAACGTGCATTTACAACAAAGAGATGTACATTTTGTGCGTTTTAATATCTAATCTAAGTAATATTACATTGCTGTTACCGTAACAATAACGGAATTATTCCGAAGAGATTTTGCAAGAAGAGTCTGAAAAGGAAAATGAGGCAACGACAACAATGAAATATTATGAATTTGTTATTTTTCAATTACCACTTACATTAGATTAACTCACTCATATCAGATAATAATAAAAACGTAAGCGTTTCAATGTGTAAATTAGAAAGATTCATTTTATAAATCGGGCTACAGGCACAATAAATGTGTTATTGTATAACTATCGTAACACAGAGAAAAATTATAAATATTCTTGTGGAAAGATAATTGATTAATGTACTTAACATAAAGGCATTTAATTTTACATTATGCATTTTCTTTTCTTCTTTTACATTCTTTTATAATAAAGAATAATCGCATTCCGCTGAATAATAGAAACGATTTAAATGGAAATCGCACTTCGAGAAAATATAGAAATATAAATCATAATACTTAAATTAAACGCGCAGACTTATAAGTTTTAAACAAAAATTTCATTTTAATGAAATCTAATTGGTATCCAATTTCTCAATGTGCACCAGCTTGGAAACTCTGTCTATCAGATGTGCCAGGTAAGTCTTGTAATTTATAGGTGCGACTGACAAACATACGTGTTTTATTCTCATTTCATCCTAAAAACGTAGAAATTATTAGAAAAAAAATAGAGTATTAAAAAGTAATTTAAAATAGAGAAAGAGCATTGAAAATAAGATAAAATTAGAATACGATTTATATGATGATAAAAAATAGAATGGACAGATACTGTTGTCAAAATTAAAAGACAGAAGGGGAATTTTATTAATATGATAAATTGTAGTGATTACCTGAAAAACTTCAGATTTCGCCCTTAACGTAAATATGTATCTCTTTAAGCTCGCCTCGCCAAATTTCTGCAAAAAAGCATCGTTATCGTTCTCCTTCAATTCTCCTAACTCTTGCGCCGACATTCCCAATATCTTTTCAGCATCTTCGCTAAAGGCAGTTATCCAGCGACTGCCAGTTGCATCCACTATATTCATCTGAAAATCATTACGATAATAAACCAGATATCAGAAAATACTTTCAAATATAATAAATAAGAAAGATGCAAAAGATAATACATACACTTGCCAGTAAGCGATACAGGAAATTTGGGTAGTCCTTGTTACATTTCTCGCATCTAAAGACTCCAGTAGATTGATCGATTAACTGAAATTTCACAGTAATTCACATTTAAGCTTGGAAATATGACCAATTTTTTTCTGTAAAATATCGCTATTTACCTTCTTCTTACAACTTTCTACGGGACACGCCTTGTAGACAGCATTTTCCACGCGGATTGTATTAATAGTCGCCACCACCGTAAACGTATCTACAAGATTCATTTTCTCCCCCAATCGAGCTTCGGTCGCCTCTTCAAAAGTGTACAATGGCGCATTAAAATCACCACCTCCACTTACTTTAGACAATGATTTTGCATTTTCTGAGTGGCCGACTGCGGTGTACCATCCGCGCAATCTGAAATATACATTGTAATACATTACATAAATAGGTCTGTTTACGTTGCTTGCACTTTTTGCACACAGTATCTTCGCTTTCTCTTTTTTAATGCACATGTATCTCTCATTTTAAGTTCAAAATTTTGTGGAAATTTCAAGCAACGCGAACAGACCTAATGGGCATGTTACTAACTTTTTTTATGTATAATTATATATTATATCTCCAAATAAAAATTAATAAAAAATCAACGTTAAAAATTACATACAAATAAAGCAATTTTCCTCTATATATATATAGTTATGATAAATTTTAATTATAATTAAAAAGTTAAATGTATTATCTTAATTGAGAAACAGTTTAAATGTACCTGTGTGCTTCAGGAAGATCAGGATCCTTTTCAAGTACAGAGGAATGTAAAAGGGACAAGTTCTTTCCACCATTAAATTCACCCACGCGCGCTCCCTTAATGGCTACGATTGGATTATTGGAACCATCAAAATCTTCAGCTTGCTTACCCCACAGTGTAAGGCATACCTAACGGAAAGTTCATTTATTTCTACTCAAAACAGCAAAATTTTAAAACCTACCGTCAATAAATTACTCACCATCGTACCGCTGTTATCGACAATATTCACATCTCTCTTTATGAGTTCTCGACCAGTAGATCGCTGTGTAATGTGTTGTACCTCGTTAAAGGATGTAACGACACCCAAGACATCTATCATAAAAACAAATCGTTATATCCATAATTTTCAAATTACATACAAATCCTATTTTTTCTTATATACAATAAAATATAAGATCATTATTTTTATTCTCTTGTATGTAGTAAAACTTTAATACAAACCAATTTTATCAATTGATACTTAAATAATTTTACATGAAAATGAATAACAAAATGTAAAGTAATATAAACATTAACAATATCACATTACCTATTATATTATCTTTTTCTATGTTTTCAATTTGACTTATGGAACGGAAGTCAAACTGTAACGTCGGAATATCATCGCTATTTTCGTGGCAAGGTATGATTTCCGTTTCGTTAGTCAAAGTCATCTCATAATCATTTTTCAATGTGCAAAATTTTTTGTTTGCTGCCTTTAGTGTACACCGTGAGATATAGTACACATTTCCAGTCTGCATAAATAAAACGATCAATAACATTTAATCTGTCGTAGATAAAAAATTATATATCATTTTAGTATATTTTAATGCGAAACATACCTCTATCATGTCGTAGAACTTCTCACACTGATCTCTAAATGCAGTGCATCGAATTTCGCCGCTTTCATCAATCAGATCCATGGAAAACAGCTTCCCTTCTCCACGAGAGTTGCTCCACGTTTTGATCGGAGACTTATTGGTCACACGAACCTTGATTACCCATCTAATCATATATTATTATTATTCTTTTTTCTTCAACATTGCATAAATATATAAAGTATATTTCGACATCTAGAAATAGGTCTGTTTTCTATACTTGAATTAGTACATTTTTAAAATTTCAAATAAAATAAATATTTGATATTTATTAAGGAGAGAATATTTTAATATGCAAAGTTTGATACAAGAATAAAAAACAGATCCATAGTTTATATAGAATCAAACTCTTACTTGTTTTGGTAAGGACTTAATGCTGCGATTGGTGTAGTACATATTTCAGAAGACATTTGATGATTTGAAGTAACATTTCTGGTTGAACCATCTGTTATAAACAAGAAAAATTTTGTATTACATATCAAAGTCACAAAAAAAAATCTAAGAGTTGATTCAATAATTTATTAAATATAATTACCACATATCAACAATATACTTACTATGAAAAGGAGCAATTGTAGCTTTAGGCACAGACATAGATGTAGTACACTCAGATTCTGACTTCATTTCTATATTAGTCGGATCACCTATTTTGTTTCCGACTTCATTGCCAGGAACCAACACTTCGATACCCAGTATCAGCATAACGCGTCTAACAAAATAAAATATGTTTAATGCTTGAATTATTTATATACTTGAATGTATAAAGAAAGTGAAACAATACTTTTCTTTGCCACTATTGTTCACTGAACTCATGTGATAATTGGTTATTTTGCAGATCGCATAATCATTTAAAATATTCTCTGTGATTAGATTATTCAATTGAGTAGCCAACATCGTGAATGAGTTTAACTTCTGTCCATCCGATATTAACAATCTGAATCGTTCAGTAGCAGAACCATCTTTATTAACATTTCTTGGCAGTTTCTTATAACCCTATGAAATTAAACACATTATTTAAGACTCTATATATGCTAAAAAGCTGTAAGATAGAATCCTTGCTACAACTAAAGCATCAGTATTTCATACAAGGTCTTAAACTTTTGTATACATGACTGGATAAGTCATGCTTTCTTTACTTAAAAAAAATATGTTTAAGTAAGAATCACACTCTTAATTATTTGTGTTAAAGTGATGAAAATTAATCTAAAATATAAATGATCCATTGTGTGTAATAAAAGTTAATTTTTGACACAATAAAAATGGCTAACACAATGACAGACACAAATCATGATACACATTACATCAGAGTATGACAAACTTTATAGAATAGAATTTATTATTACTTCAACTTATATGACAAACTTTATATTTCAATCTGTAATCCAAATAAAAGCGAGTGGAATAACGTCACTTAGCTAGCCTGGATGCTGCTGGCTATAAAAGTCACGCTTTTAAGATAAACAATTATATCCTCACCAATATTTGGAGCACTGGATTATGGACATCTATGCCTCGCATAATTTTCTGAAACGATTAAATTCTTATGTTATGCAATACAACGCAATAACTATACAGAAACTCCGAAAAATTTACCTCCACCGCTCCTTCGGTTAACTGATACATTATTGTCGATTGCGGTTTATTACTTTTTTGCGAAAGCCTTTTGTTTTGATGAGAAACTAAGGTGATCACGCACACTTGACTTCACCTTGTTGACCTTCTATTAGTTCTATTAATCTATTCTGTTATTTGCTAGTATTTCCCGCCGAATAGACGACATTGCCGACATCGCCGACATTGGTTGCGTTCAGAAAAACTAACAGTTTTGCACACACAATCGCTTTTAACAGATGCATTAGGGTGCAGTCCCATGGAGCGTATCACGGATTAGCGGATAGCCAATCACAGAATCGTTCTGTTAAGCCCATTCTACATTGGTCGTATCGTAGACGTCGCAGGTCACAAATTTGTTGCAACAGCCAATCCGATGTGTGTTTTTCAATTAGAAGTCTCACGACGCTTTCGATGCTACGATACGACCATGGACACAGCGCTTAATATACACGTGCGTCGTCGCCGGAAGCCGTTTCTGCACTCTCTGCTGCTGCTCTTTGCCCGCGCACCGGAAACCTGGTACAGTCCGCCGTGACGCAATCGTTTCCCTCGTGTCGGACGCCGTACTCCGTAGTTGGCCGCAGTTCTTCGTACTCATCTCGTTTTATCGCGTAGTTTTCTGCCGTTAATTTGCTTCCAACATGAACGGTATCGTAAGAAGCGCGTTTCGCGCCACGGCACTTCGCGGCATGCTGTCGTCCTCGTGCGGCAGCAACAGCAGCGGCCAACCCGCCAGGGCTCTGTGGAACGTGTGTGGTCGCCGGCAGAGTGCCGAGATCACGCCTCTCATTTCCACGCCTGAACTGCATGATCTTCGCGCTCAAAGATGCTACAGCACGTCGCATACCAAAGGTATCGACCTGTCGACGAAGGTATCGTGTCGAATAGACCACGTTGATTGTCTCCGTGGCCGGCATCGCATGGTTTCCCTGTTTAGAAAAACATGTTCAACTCCGATACGAAAATGTTTTAAGCTCTAATCGTCACTTGAAACGTCCTCTTTCTTTTCTATTAAATAGCGATTCTCTAAGTTTTCTCAATTTTCATGACTGTAGGCTGATGCAATTGAAAAATTTATTAGATATGTGTCTCAGCAAACTTTTCATACTTTTCACCTCTTTTTTTTTATCTAATGTATAGTTTAATTATGATAGTGTGTGTGTGTGTGTGTGTGTGTGAGAGAGAGAGAGAGAGAGAGAGAATAATATATGCAGTGCTACAAAAAACAAACTTAAAGTCTTATAATTTATAAAAAAAAAGATGTTAATTGATTTTTCTTTTTCTGAGTACACAGACTTCTCACATCATTATTTAAATTCGTTTAATTTTACTTTATCCGTTGTATAATTCGATATCTTTTATTGTCTAAAACAATAAGAATATTATTGTACTGTACATTTGAAACTCAACAAATAAATCTAAAATTATACCAACAAACCAGCTTTTTCGTTCAGCATGCAGAAATATATAATTTTATATAATTCTGTTTATTTTTTTTAATTATATGTTTTTTTTTATTAGCGGAAAAGGAATTAGTGGAATTTCTAGCTGAGGAGATAGTAGCTGAAAAGAAGGCACAGAAGTTGAAGATGATACCAACAACATTAAATGGCTTTTCTGTGTCTCTCAATGGTGCCGAAGTCAATCTTGAAAAGAAAGATGGCATTGATAAGTAAGAGAATTTTATTATATTGATGTATGGATTTAAAGTGTTAATTAATGATGTATCTGACTTATGATATTCTTTTCCAGTATCCATATTTCATTTAATGTAAACCATACGGTAGATGCAGACACTGAATCAGAAATGAATCCTAATAGTGATAATGTAGACATAGGTGAAATGAAGAGCAAGCCGAACTTTACAGTAGACATAGTGAGAGGCAATCAGACTTTAGGTTTTTCGTGTTCTTTTAATAACCAAGCTGGTGCATCAGGTGCCGATGATAATTATAGTAAGTATATTTGCAATAAGTAAGCAATATGCCTTAGATTGCTTGTTTATATTATTTTAAATATTAATTTCTTTGCAGATGACATATTTGGCATTGATGAAATCACACTGTACGAAGGTAACCACAATGATAAGGTGTATTCCGTGGCTGGTGAAATCATTGATGGAGTAAGTATGATTTTTGAAGGCATAAGGAATTGTTATCCTGTCTCTATATCTCTGTGATTATTTAAAGTGAAAATTGATACAACTAAATAATTAAATATGCTAGAAATAATTTTTACTCATATTAAAAAATATTAAAAACTTAAAAGCTGATATATATTTGGGTTTTAAAGTTATCTGTGCTTTTAGGTATTGCTTTGAGATATACTTTAAAGAGCCTTCTAATATATATTATTTATATGTTAATTATTACTTTAAAGTTTTGAATAAAAAAATTTAAAAAATATATTTATAATGCATAAAGATCAAATATATCTCCAAAGTGTTGAGTTCAAGTAGCTTATATTAAGGTTGCTTGATTATTTATCTTTGGAAAATCATTAACATTCTTATAAAATTAATTCATGATCTTCTGTCATGTGTTCATTGAAATAAGAATGTGACATTTTTTTCTACCTCTTCTGTTGATGTTTTCTTAATTCTCTCTTCTTCAAATTTGAATTTCTATAACCAAGACATGAAATAATTCTGCATAAATTAGATTAACTTTTTTATTACGTATTAGATAAATCAGATATTAAATTAAATACTTTTTATTTATTTTTCAGTATCTGTACGATCTACTGATGAACTATCTTGAGGAGAAAGGTATCTCAAACGAATTTGCAGAGAAACTGATCGAGTTGAGCACATGCTATGAACATACAGCCTACGTCAGCTTATTGGAAGGCTTATCAAAGTTCACATCTGGAAAATGATTCTAGGAATTAAAGTATTAAGATTATCTGCGATTCTCTCATATAACAATGTAGTTCGTAAGAATTGTTAATAAAATTATGTGCTGATGCGTATTTTTATTGATTAATTTCAAAGACATTCAAATAAAATGGATATATTAGAATCACAACAATTTAATTTTTGTTTTATTATGTAAAAAGAAAATATTCCTTGTTGTAAATAAATTAAATCTGTATTAAAAAAATGAGAACTAGAATTTTTGTCTCCTATATATTTTACCAGACTTTAAATATCGTCATTAAGATGATTTCCTGAATTTTTATTTCCTTTCTACTTTATTGTTTTATTGTGCTGTGCAGACTAAAAGTGTTTAATATTTATAGAATAAATTAATTTGTTTTTAATGCTTTGTTATACTCTCGGATGCTTAGTTTCTCTTTTTTTTTATTCAATACATTTATTCTCGCTTGCTCGCACGCTTTGTCTCAAATCTCGGATAAGATGCGTCAAACAATGAGAAAAGAAGATTTATTCATATAGATAAACGTTGAAGAAAAGTGATGCAAAAAAAGAAAGGCAGGAAGACAGAAAGGAAGGGGGTCAGCAATCCCACGATTCGTCACTGATACGGATCGCAGGCAGCGGGATGGTAAAGATGGACCAAAATGGACGCAATTGGATGAGGAGAGACTTGGGGAGACTCGTGGACACGGCGATGGCGTAGGTAGTTATCCGCCAAGTGCAAAGTCCTCGCGACCTTCGTCGTCGCCCTCGCCTTCGCGTGAGTCCTCGTCCTGAGAATGTCGTGCCGCAATCCCGACAACCTCATGATGAATACGAGCGACGACGAGAGCTTCGACTACCTGTTCAAAATCGTCCTAATCGGCGACTGCGGCACGGGCAAGACCTGCGTGGTGCAGCGCTTCAGGTCCGGAACATTTGTTGAACGCCACGGCAACACCATCGGCGTCGATTTCACCATGAAGACCGTGCTCATAGACGGCAAAAGGGTGAAGGTACGCCGTACTCCAGAGATGCGCATTCGCATCAAGCTTGAAGCTTAACCTATGCTCCGTTCGCATTATCAACACAGAAGTCTTCTCTTAGAAGTCTGCTGTGGTTATCAGCACTCCTCAGTACTCTGTGTTATATTATGCTTTTTTTTTTGCTGTACTGGATTATACTAGAATTTTCTTGATCTCTTTTGTCAAATTTCAAACATATTTTACTTTAAATATAAAAAGTATGTAATAGTTCAGCTCTGTAAAAAAACAGGCCTAATAAAATGGACTAACAATAAATGTATTTCATGACTCTGATTTCAATAGAAAAAGGAGAGAAAATGTGATAAAAGTAGAGCTAAAAGATAGAAAAAAAATTTGTAATTAGTAAAAAAAATTAAACGTAAACAAGACTTATTAACAGACTGATATGTCATCTGTGTCTGGATCATACATATTAAACTTTTACATCTGATAAATTCTTATACAATTCAAAAGAGTAACATAAATCTGTTTTAATTCATTGATTATGATTATTAATATAGATAGTGGTTATTAATATTTAAAATCATAATGAAGCTCTTTTTCTATTATTGACAGTTACAAATATGGGATACTGCAGGGCAGGAAAGGTTTCGAACAATAACTCAGAGTTACTATAGATCTGCAAATGGAGTAATTGTAGGTATGTAACTAACAGTGAATCCTTATATTTCTCATCAGCATGCAATAGATTGTTGTTTACTAACATGTATTATACTATTATTATTAATTTAAAGAATAATTAACAAATTAGTTTAATAAAAAAATTAATAGGAATTATACTGTGTTTTTCTGTGTATAATTTATATTATCTGAAAAATTATACACGGAATCATTCTAATAAACGATATGATTATTTTAGTTTACGATATTACAAAGCGATCGACGTTCTTAAGTTTACAACGTTGGGTAGAAGAAGTCCGGAGGTACTCATCGTCGCATGTGTTACTGGTATTAGTAGGTACGATCATTTTATGTACATACATTATAATAATTATCATGCCATAATAATGTTGCATTACACAATGATTCAATTTTCATATATTTTTACTTTGCAGGTAATAAATGTGATTTGGAGGATCTACGCGAGGTGAAGAAAGTAGAAGCTGAAGCTTTATGCCAATATCTGCCCGAAGTTTTGCACGTAGTGGAGACCTCAGCCAAAGATAATACAAATATAGATTCCATCTTTTTTTATCTGGCATCGGAACTTAAGGTAAACCCATTTTTTATTTTGCGCAAAAAATACATAATTTAAGAATTAAATGCATTATTTGTTTTTAGAGACGACACGATAATCGCCAGATTAGTGCGAGCGAGGAGGAAGTAGTGAAGCTAGGTGTCGGTCGAAATCTATCTTCTTGTTCGGGCTGTTCTTATAAAATATTTTAAATTATTTGATATTTATTGATGCGCTGGATGACTGAAATTTTTTTGAACCGAGCGTCCAGTGATAAGATAAAAGGCAATCGACGAATGTGATATCGCACGATTTCGTCTGCACCACATTTTAATGTTACTATTCTTGAAATGATAATTGAAAAATTAGAAATTAATATGCTGTTAAGGATTTCTCTAAAACATCGTGTGAACTTATCAGCTTTTTAAAAAAATTTCACTGCCCTTTATCTTACTATAGCCCGATAAACAAAGAAGACCAGTGTACACGACCAGTGTAATTCTATCGATGCAGCAGAAAGATGTTCAGGTGCTAAATTCAAGATATTATTTTTCTATTCTCATAGATTGGAACAGTAGCTATCTAATCTCGAAAAACATGAATCTCGCGATAAAGATCTAATTTCTAGAGTAAAAGATAGTTTCTATTCTGAAAGCTCGCTGTTCCGGGAAGAGCACATATGTATATTTTTATATGCGATTTAACAAAACGTACAAATTTACACTTACTTGTGTACACGTATTGACATTTTACTCAATATTGCGATAACCTGAAGAGTGGTACTCTTTTTGGAGTATCTAGTGCCTTAAAATATCACCCTGAACGCATAGATATTCGTGAAGTGTAATCGAGACGTTTGCAGGAGATTTAATTGCGAGTGGTAACTTAATGTATTTCTTTTTTTATTTATTTTATTTATTTGCACGTACAAACGTTGTTACGGCGAATGTGAAGTTTAGCCTCTCAATCGCCAAGCACCTATTAGAAGCTGTAAATACTAATCCACAGTCGCGTTCTCATTGTGCATTTTGCGTTAAAAGCGATCTTCTAATACTTGATCTTTGTTAATTTTAATAATTATACAATTAAATAATTCGGACATAATTCAAACAATTCATATAATAATTTAGATTCGCATTTAGAGGCGCAATGGGAATGCGAACAGGTATGTAGAATGCGTTTCGTTTAATTAAACGCTATTGTTATTTGTGAGATATAAAGAATTTCTATATTACTGCTTATGTATAAATCATAATATATTTTTTTTTACTTATGTTGCGTGTATTCTCTCGAAATAGTCGTTGCGAATGCAAATCATGTTTTTGATAAGAGATATTAAAACCTCAAAGTAAGATACGTAATAACCCAGACAATATATTCAATTAAAGTGTTCTCGTAATTAATCTTAGATCTGTACTGAACTATAATTGCATCTCGGTGCATCTTTCAAATAAAAAAAATATTTTTTAACATAAATAAATAATGAAGAAAATATTCGGCCGAAGCGAATCAAAGTGAATAAAAAATCTTGTTAGACATGAAAAGAATATACATATCCGTTGTTAATAAATATAATTACAAATGAAACTGTCTGATCTGTGTGCGAAGAAAAAATATTATACGAAATATAAATTTATATATTGGAGCTTAAATATCACAATTGTGCGCCGAAATAATACGCAAAATAATATTGTTACATATAATTGATCAAATGTTTCAAAATTGTGTACGCAAGAATTTAGAAGCTTGTTATAAAATAAATTCTACTTGTATTCTATCGAGAATAAAATTTGATATTTTATCTTCTTTTCGTTAAAAACTTACGAAATTTTTGAAACACTTGATTAATTTTATAAGCAATTGTATCATACGAGAAGTAATTGACAATATTTATTATACTGTATGTGTTTGTAGACAGTTAAAAAATATATATTTTTCTTTAAATACATTATGTTTAGTATAATGGTTTTGTCATTTAACACGGTTTTATGTATTGTTATTTGATACATTTGAGATGCTGAATGATAATAAAATTCGTTAATTTATTATAGACTTCTTACACGCATAAAGAAACATAATTTCTTTAGCTTCGCATAAATGTATATTGATTCCAAAGATAATTTATTCTATACTAAATATAAATGACAATTTTATAACTATTGAAATAACTGTTGAAAAAACTGTTTTCTTCCGACAAATTTAATTATGTAAATATTTATTCAACATTATTATTCGATTTATGTGGAATTGTATGAAAATTATGCACGATTGTTGATTTTAATGTGAATGACTACGACGTAAGTGTATATGAATAGCATATACATACATTAACATTAAAAGGTCACAAAATGCTAGTTCGTTAACTAATTTTTTATTGCATCAAAATAATATTGCAGATTTAACAGCTGTATTAAACAAAATGAAGCGAGGTAGAAAAGACAATTCTAGTTGACAACGTAATTCAATTCAACATTATATAAACATCTAAAACTAACCATAAATTTACAAAGAATCATTTGAAATTAAATCTTAAATATCACAAATATTTTGTTGCTTGTACGTTATCGCATATTGAAAGATTTGGACAAATAGTATTAGCATAAATGTATAAACATTTTCTTTTTATTCTTGTACAAAAATCTTACGTAAGGCACTTTTTAATGCTATTTTTACATAGGTAAATAGGTCTGTTCACGTGGCTTAAATCTTACAAAATATATTGCATTTAAAATTAGATGTATTTGGAAATTGAAGAACGAGAAAGCGGAGTTTCTGAACGCACAAAGTGCCAGCAACGCGAACAGATCTAATATTTAATGTCGTTGTTAAATTTATGTAAATGTAAACAAGCTACCAACGATAATAGTTAAATTTCGGCGAATTATAGATATATTTGAAAACATTTTTAATTGACACAATGTAAGGAGAGAACGACGTTGCAAAATAGTTATATTTTATTTTACAAATCAACAAAGAAGTTATAATAATTTCGAGCCAAATAGTTCCTTTCTATCAAAATATTTTCTGTTAAAATCACGTAAGTGCCTAAGATTCTTACCTCTGCCTGATACTTGTTCTACATGATGTAATATAATATATATATATATATAAATTTTCTTTGTTAATTATATTTCTTAAAAAATTATATGATTATCAATTGTTACAATCGTTGTTACATTTCAAAATCATATTAAAGAATATGTTGGTGAATATTTTATGCGATAAGAAATAATATATTAACGTATATCGAGACGAAAAATAATCAAAAAAGACTGATTTGGGGCGATTTCTTAATACGAACACGCCTCATTCGATGATAAATAAACTTGATATTAATAGAGTACGTTATCAATATAATATAACTTTATATATAATTGTTAACAAAAATTTATAATCAAGTAGAACCTCGAACCTTTTATTTTATATATATATATGTATATATTTCTCTCTTTATAGAATAAAATTGGCTATAAACAATCCTAAACCTTGAAATCTAACTCTCATACTCTCTTGTAAGTCCTCCTGTACTGTTCATCTACTTGTGTTAAGTAGTATGTGCCCGGAAACATGTCGTTTATACTACTCTGCGGAGTGAATGGCACAACATGGCAATTCCGTTCTCTTGCCGCCAGAACTTCGGTGTACTCCTTCGGAGAAACACAATGACGTCCTTCTAACTGCGACTTGACGTAGGAAAGAGCGCTGATGATTTTCGACAAGCCAGAACCTTCGCGCGTGTCCCTCGCTATCGTCAACGAGTACAAACTGGAGCAGAGGCCCGAGCCGTAGGAAAATACGCCGACCTTGTTACCTGCCAATTCATTTATCGGCTTTGATATAAGTAATGACACTAAACCGGAGTACACCGATGGTGTATACATGTTTCCAACTTGATTCGCTATTAGTAAGCTGGGCTGAGTTTTTTGCTCGAAGTCCGCCTTGCTCAGTTGCATGAACGTCTTCTCGATGTCCTGACTGAAGTAAGTGTCCTCGAGCTTGGCAGTGCGGAACTTCAATGCGTCCTTGTAACCATCGGGAATCTGATTCTCCGGCGTGTTAAGGAAATCGATAAAGGCCAGCCTCGCGAACGATTTCCGCACGAGTTTGCAGTATGGTGAATGAAAGAGTATCGCGTCAAAGTTGGTCAAAGTGACGGGGCTTTCACAGGGCTTACTCGTCTTGACTTTTTCACAGTACAGCTGATAGCAGTTATCCAGAGCGCTGAGGTAGCATTGGATCGACAGCTTGCCGTCTACCATGGGATATTCGGAGCGCATGTTTGGCTTGTAAAAATCGTAGGCGTGCCTCATGCAGGACGCTCGGAGGCCACGGTCGAACACGAGTGGTGCATCCGGACCTACCAGGATGGCTATCGCGCCCGCACCGCCCGTAGGCCTAGCGCTGCCCGTGGAGTATACCGCGCTGTCAGCTGCAACGACGAGGGCAAATCTGCCGTCCCAGGCGCTGCTCTCCACCCACGCGATGGCGTTGAAGAGCGCGGCGGTGCCGCCGTAGCAGGCGTTGGTGGTATCCGCGCCCTCGATGTCGGTGCAACCGTGTGGCTCGAACAGCTGCATCAGCACGGTTTTCACCGACTTGCTCTTGTCGAGGATGGTCTCGGTGCCCACCTCCAAGCGGCCGATGTCCTGCGGCTTGATTTTATAACGCTCCAGCAGCCGGGAGGTAACGGTGAGGCACAGCGAGTTGATGTCCTCGCGATCGTTACAGAAACCCATTCGCGACTGGCCCAGGCCGATCGTGTACTTGCCCGCCGACACGCCGTCGTACGCCTCCAGCTCCGTCTGCTCCACGTACTGCGCCGGGAAGTAGACCTCTAAAGCCCGGATGCCGACATCCTTTGGCCACATCTTTGTCGAGTCGTGGGACGTTCTTTCCTTTTCAAGAATGCTCTTCCTCTCTTTCTCTTTTTCCCGCGGGGTCTATACAGTCAGCCTGACAACGCTCGAGCCTGCCACAGCCTGCCTGTTGATTGATTGATTCTGATTAATCGCTGTGTTATTCTCTCTCGCGTGATACGCAAATACCTGACCCTATTGAACTTACCACAATATAGCAGTCGCGTAGCCGCACGCGACGCGCTTCCGCGATGACTCTGGTGGAGTAACTGTCCAGCGTTCGCCGATACAACGATGATGATGACAAGTCGTTATGAGTCGAGGCAACACACACGTATACGCACACCCGCTTGTCCTCGGCTGAATTCAGGTTAGAAGTGAAACTCCGCTCGGCTCGGTGAAAATCCCGGTCGTCGCGTCGCTTTCGATTGCGTGCTTCGAAGCCCGCGCGTCGTACCTTCGTTTCGTTAAGTCGGCCGGTCAGCGGCTCGCTCGCTCGCTCACTTCCTTGAACTCTCGGCTTCCGCACCTCACGTGCTTTCTGCTGGGGTCGACGGAAAATGCTCGCGCGCGGCCAGGCTCTCGCGAGAGTCGCGAGCAAATGTACACGCGGCGCTCACGCGGCGGCATATAATAATTGCACCGCCGGCGCCCGCCGTTGCCGCCGCCGCCATCGGCCGCCGAACTTGGACTCCGGAGGTGGGGGAGGACAAAGGTCTCTCCGGGATTGGTCGGGATTAGAACTCGCGACGTCCCTATACATAATTAATACCCGTATTCAAACGAAGCCTTATAAACAAAATTTCCTTCCATTTTTATTTTTGAACCACTAATTATTTTATTCTTCGAATTTTAGTCGTATTTATTGGCTGTTGAGCATCTGAAGATAAATTTAAGGAGAAGCTTATGTATATAATGTTTGACTATGAATACGCGAACATAATCTTTGCTTCCTTAAAGTGACCTTACACGCTCAATAATATTATCAGTATAAATAAATATTAGTAATAATCATTGAGTAACAAAGGCTCGGAAATAAATAAATGTAGATATGTATAAGTTGATGAATATACCGTTTCTTTACGAACCGACACAGGTTATTGATGTGTGCAAACAATTTAAATAAAACGCATAACTCTCGACTTTGAAATAAAAAATTGTTTGCACACCAATAATCTGTGTCGGTTCGTAAAAAAGGCATTCATCAATTTATATTCAAATATTGATAACATTATTGGTCGTGTTCTTTTAGTTATAGTATTGATGGATTCATGTCACAGCATGTTACAGTGCTATTATTTCAATATACGTATATAAAATAAATGTAAAATATATTGTGAACAATACTGATATTGTGTAAGGTTCTAAAAATATTAAAAATATTGATGCGTACTGTCTGATCACTAAATTCATCAATGTTACCGATTAGTATTTTATTGTCCGTGTCAGAGTGACCTTAATTTAGGATGGAAAAACAGAGTCTTGAATAAAACGCATAACATGCATGAGAAAACGAAATAATGAAAATCTTTGATTTCCTTTCTTTCCACGAAATAAAAGACTCTGATTGGTTAACTTCTTGTGCGTTATGCAAGAATCTGTGCTCTCTATTCAAGCCTCGAATGTAATCACTTTTAATATATTCAATAGAGGATTCGCAAGAAGTATATAGCAAAATGTTATATGTATTTTTAATATAAATGAGATGCTTAATCACAATTTTAATATTGCAAAAACAATCTTTTAACATTGCATAAATAAATAATTCAATTTATACAAAGAACTCTCAAGTATAAAAAACATACCCAGTGAAAAATGACAATGGAAATGATGTCGAATTGACATCAATTCGATGTCGATTCCATTATCATACACTGGGTTAGATTTTATTATATTATTCTTTCTTGTATTAAAATAATTCAAAATAAAATGTTTTATGAATTATATATTTAAATATATAAAATACTTTTTCAGTGTAATAATTCAAGTTCATATTTGATCTTAAAAGAAATATTTTACTTGCGGCTTTCTCAAATATTATTTTCTCATTTATTCACGCGTCTAATAAAATTGGCAATATTTTTTTTAGAAATCTTTACAAAAATGCTGCCATAATTTTACCGTTTCCATGCATAGATTAGATTAGACGCTGATACGTCACTGCTAGTGGAACTCGCAAATTTCGCGGAGACTTCGGGGTCTCGCAAGTTTGCATGACAATTTATCGTTGGCAAATTACGACGTTCACAAACGGCTGACAATAGGTGGAATGCGAATTTGCGGGACAAAGTATGTACCATATACATTCCGGACGAATACTCATGAACAGTTTCACGTTCTATTCCCTATAATAAGTCCCCGACGGACAGATATTGGACTGGATCAGCAGGTTACGAGGTCATGATAACAATATAAGATTCTCTGCAAGAATTAAATATTAGGAATAGAATTTAAAGAAAAAACTAGGGAGATTAAACGTGACTCGTACAACCGATAACATAAATAAAAAATAGAATCTTATTCGTATCTATATTATGTACGTTACGTTTCATCTCTATTTTTAATTTTTAGGAAATAATAAAATAATTAGGAAATAGAGATTAAACGTCTCACATATATTTTCCAAACGTACCTAAGAAAAAAATATAGAGATTATCTCTCAGAGAACTGTGTCTATAAGGCATATAATAATAAATGTAAATAAGATATATCTAAGATATTTGTATCCATCACGCGTTACGTTTAATTTTTACTTGTAATTATTTTATATACTATAAAAATTGGAATTTTTTCAAAATAAATAATTTCAAAGACGGCAAATACGAATTGGTGTGGTATTAATAAATAAATTGATAGAATAATTTAATTTACAGCTCATTTTTCAGCGAGGATAAATGAATAAAAATCAATTAAAAGTTAATATTTTTATTTCTCTAATATTTAATATTATTCCTAATATTTGTTCGAATGTGCGCCTAAGGAGGAGCGCCGCGCCGCTTTGCTCAATTCCAGAAGAATGCCTTGTATGACACGAGCGTTGTCCATAAACGATCCATTGATTTCTTTTCTTTTCTTTTGGCGACGCTCTGCTTAGGAAGGGGGTATGCACAATGAAAGTGAAGTTCTATTACTCGTACACGCGTGCATTTAAGAGGGAACGGCCGTGAACGTCGCCCTCGGCGAAGTAACTGCAAAAATTGCGTGTCTGCTGATGCAACTTTCAGTGACAAAAAAAAAACACGTGTTTTTAACGAATTCGTCGACAGACCCGCGATTTTTTTCCCTTTTCTTCCTCGAATACTTTGATAATTTTTCTTGCGTAATAAATACAGGTAGAAAAGAGATAGAAATTAAAGATAAGAAAGAAATAAATTTCACGTGCTTTATTTTAAAGCTTTGCTTTTATTATACATCGGCGAGATAACGATCGTTTAAGCGAAAAATTAGAAGTTACACATGACGTTTAAGTGGCAATTTAGTCATCAGTTTTAGTAATTAACTAGTAAAATAGCGGGGCTACGCGAGAAACTAGGATATTATACCAATTTCTTAAAATGTAATTTAATTTTAATCTCGGCTTAACTAATTTTTTATTTTTTCCTAGATAATTTCGAAAAAGATAAAGAACTAGTTGAGAAAACTGATATTAAAGATAATCTACATTTGTAGAAACGGACATTAGAAAAAGATGAAGAATAAGATAAACCGAGATTAAAGCTAACCTTACATTCGTGAAACCAAGATGCATTTGTTTGTGAACTATGCGTAAGAAAACAATCATAAACTAACTATTTGTATGTAAATGCATGAATGAATGTATAATAAATGTACGAATAATGCATACTGATTCAAATGTAAGATCATATTTTATTAGCCAGATAAGCAATGACATACGTTTGTAAAACAAGAAACGTAATTGAAGGCCAATAATAATACTCGATAATAGACATTGAACTTCGATAGCGAGATAATCTAAAATGTTCTATTAGTTCAATTTAATTTAATTTTTTTTAATTTAAGTTTTATCTCATTTTAATTCTAAGAATTAAAACGAGTTTTAAAGTTTTAAATTTACATCAGTTCTACATTTGTTCGCGTTGCATGCACTTTTCGCATTCAGCAACTTGGCTTTCTGTCTCTTCAATGCCCAAATGTATATGTATTTACCACAATTCAAGTGCAAAATTTGTGAGGATTTCAACGCAAACATAAAAATGGACATAACCCAGATTGTCTGCGTCCTCCTAAACTCCGAACGTTCCTTCTTTCGTTTATTTTATTATAGAATATTGCGCGTTCGATACATTTTTGGAAGAAAATGTATACAGAACAGTTCTCTTGTTAATGTCCTATAAGGACATTTCTTGGAGAACTGTGTTGTGTGGGATACCTATACGTCGGTGTCTTACGGAAATAGAAAACTAGCGAGAATTGATATACGGACTGGAAGATAAATTGACACTTCCTTATTATTAATTTATTATTATATGATTATTTATTATTATTATTATTATTATTAAAACTTAGCTTTTCGAAGCACCAACCCGGTCATATAACGTGAAAGACGAGAAATAACATGCAATAAATTAATTATTACACATACAACTTTTTAGATTTCCCTTAAATCCTGAAACCTGTCTTTTTTGACATTTTAAGAGTAATAGACAGGTAGATAGATATATAAGATAGATATTAATATTCGCTATTCAAGATGATCATTTTTGTGCTTATACAATTATTTTAGAAAAAAAATAATTACATTATATGATAAACTGAGACATTTATCTGATGTCATATAAAAAGAGTAAAATAATTCCTGATGTAATGGTACATAAATTTCTTAACCGTTAATAAATACCGCCAATTTTTGACAGCTAAAAGATGTACCATTATTTTAAGAGTTATTTTAGTCGCATATTTCATAAGTTTCAGGATTGAATGAAATTATTGTTTTTAGACATTAAAAAATTAAGTTGTACATAACAATTATAATTTATTGCAAATCATTTCTCGCTTTTGACGTCATACAGCCAGACGTCAAGACAGCCAAGTTTTAATTTAAACTCTTGTAATTCGAAAACCACAAAAAATTGCTTAAAATAAAATATGTAGTTAAAGTATAAGTCCCTGACCTATTCTCTTCTTCACTCTATTATATACGCGCACTGAGAACAATGTTTTAGTTGTAGACCATCAAAAAGTTGCGCGCTAGCAAAAAGATAGATTTAAGAAAATACAAAGAGGCAAACTTCAAAAAATTTACTTGATACTTATTTTGTTTATCATTTTTCCATCACAGAATTCTCATAAAATAAGAGATAAGCGTTAATATAGAAAAAAACTCGAGTAAACGTGTATTAGTAGTTACCATATTCTCTAAATGGATAATAAAACTGGATTTTCTCTCAAGGACACAAAATGGATTATATCTGGAATATTTTTATTAACAGCGAAAAATATAAGGAGGAGGAAGGGAAGTCGAAATCTCTAAGTATAAATAAAATGAACTCTGATGAATTAGAATTCTGATCATCGTTATTAATTTTTTCATCATTTCAACTAGAATGTTTGATAAATTTCACCATAA